AAATTTCGGCTATTTACGAAATTTCTAAAATTTTGAAATTTTAAAATTTCAAGGGCCCGGGCCCCCAAGATTTCCAAAAATTTTGAAATTTTTGAAATTTTTAAAATTTTGAAATTTTCGAATTTCAAAAATTTTAAAAATTTCGTAAATAGCCGAAATTTCTGAAATTTTTAAAATTTTCGTAAATAGCCGAAATTTCTGAAATTTTTAAAATTTTGAAATTTTAGAATTTTAAAAATTTTACAAATTTCGTAAATAGCCGAAATTTCTGAAATTTTTAAAATTTTGAAATTGTAGAATTTTAAAAATTTCGTAAATAGCCGAAATTTCTGAAATTTTTAAAATTTTGAAATTTTAGAATTTTACAAAGTTTAAAAATTTCGTAAATAGCCGAAATTTTGAAAATTTTCAATTTTTTTGAAAAAGTCGTGGATCATCTGCTACCGCCAGAGCAAATCACATTATACAGAAAGGTTGCTCGTACAGATATATATATATATATCTTTATGTGTAGATCTATATGCAGGCAATCTCCCACGCCCTTTCGCGCCAAGGTGTGTTTTCATGCCAACCGGCACCTTCAGGACAGGGCTCTGCTCGAGGTAAAAGTGTTAGGCTGGCAAGAGTTAATATCCCTAAAGCAGAGTGGCCATTGGAGACAGATATCATTCAGCAGAGCTTCGGCGGCTCAGTCCATCCACGTTTTGCCCAAGACGAACATGAAGTCCAGAAAGATCATGCGGCTTTCTGTTAGCGGGGAATGAAGACATGGCGTTGTGACAAGGATTTGTAACCGGGGTCGCTGAGAGTTTCTTGAGATCCAACCGTTCATCTCTACTAACAAAGGTATCAAGGAGAAAAGCACATCGCAAGATGAGCGCAAAAAAAGAGTAGACACGCGCGCCTTCAGGACAGCGTGGGATTTCCTGAACATAATCATCTTGACCGTTGAGCTGATGCCTGGCGCAGGGCATGCTTAGCCTGATGTAGCTTTTCAGTTGATGCTCGCAACTACCTGCTGCGTCATAGAGAATGAAGGAATGCATCCCTAAAGTGGTCCGACCGACATCCAACATTTCAGCCCCATATGGCCTATTCCTTCATTCCCTATGGAGCACCAGGAACATAGGTTGTCGACTTATCAAGGATTCTGCTGCCGTTGAATGTCTTCGAGCAAATGGAACCAACCACCGGCCTTCGAGCATTATCCTGGCTCATTCAGATGCTGTGCTTTCAATTCCTGGTACGGGTCTGTTCGCGGTGATTGCAGTTTCATTCTCCCAAGGACACTTCGGCTAAATTTGTGCCTCCGTCTGAAAGGATCTACTGGAATCTGGACATCTGCATCCACTTTAGAACGGGCTTCTACCTGCGTGGCTATGCTGTGAAGGCTACGCAGCAAATTGCCCTACGATACCTTCGAGGCCCGGTTCGCAAACACTCCTGTTATTTTTCTCTTACTGCTAATGCTGTTACTTGTAACGTGAATGGGCTCTGGCTGTGGGGATGCTGTTGCAAGTTCTCTTCCGGCTTCCTTTATTTTATCCAACCTTCTCGCGTGCGAGTGCTCTGTCACAACAGAATAGGCCTGCAATCTGCAGTTGTCAGGCTAATTGCCTCTGAGGTGCAGGCAAATGCCGTTCGAAGCTATGAATGAGTCCAGCGTAGTTCTCGGGTTATGTAAGCCCGCCGCAATGCTGGGTAATTTCTCAATGATGAAGCAGCGAGTTTGCAGCATGGCTCCATGCAGGCTGGTTCATGTGCGACTTCCTGCCGCCTGGCTCCAGTCTGCAGAAGGTCCGTTCAGGATTTGCTTGCGCCAAGCCTCTTCGATTCCAGATCCTGACCGTTCTAGCCTGGCTGAGGAACGTTTTGCTGGATTGGTATTTGGACACAGCTCACACCTATGCTGCGACCGTGCTTTCAGAGACAGTAGCAAATGCCGCCCATCCTTTTTCAGAGTTGCTGAGTAGACTTTTTCGTCGCATGTCCTGTTTCTGGCGCTCATGCTTTGAACGCCGTGCTTAGGAGCTGTATTACCTTGTGATTGCCAAGTTTATGCTCCGCCTCGTCCGATTTGCTAAGCTGAACAAGCTGGCGCAGCCACTCTGCAGAGAATGCAGTGGAACTACGCCATCAAATCAATGCCTGGAAGCCATGTTGGTAGCTACTGTACTACTGACTATTGTGACTTTGGCTAGTAGTATGACTATAACTATTGCTAGCCACTCCTTGCCATCATTTTTAATTACTATTGCTGCTACTGCTACATTCCCTGTACAGGCCCAGTTTCCATTCCATCATTTCTATTACCTGTATTTTGGAATGAATATTGCTCACCACGCCCAGTCCCAGGTCTCTGATTCGCCGCCTGAACTCGGACACCTCGATCGCCAAGGCGAAGATCTTCCTTCTGTCTTGCCAGTAGCATGGCTGAATGGTTTAGGAAAGCTCAAGGCGCAGGAATCAGATGTCTGGAGGTTTTTGGCTCGTTCTATGTAGTCTTGTACGTACGAGAACTGGGCAAAAAGTACTTAGAGCTTTATTGGGCCAGGGTCACCCTACTGCCGCTGATTGCCCACGAACCTCCTTTGAGCTTTGCGCCTGTGTGAAATGTGATGTCCAAGGATCCTGCTGATGCAGCATGTGATGGTGCTTGACTTACACTTGGCCATGGCGGAACGAGTAGGTCAACTGGTGTGTTTACTTATGGCTGAGCTGAGCCTTGCAGCTTTCATGTCTGGTTACGGTTCTCCGTATGGAAGGAATGGGTACAGAAACTCGAAATTCCTACATGTTTGGAGATTGAGATTGTATGTAACCATATTTAGGCCTCCATCCCCTGCTGACAATCAGTAGGTTTTTCACCAAGGCGTGCGTGTGGTACAAGGTTGGCAAAGTCTCAGAAACATCAGGCAGGTTCCGGCGATACGGCTTAGCTCAACAGCGGCGTCAGCCTAAACCCAGCGAACAAATTGCAAGATGTTGTGCAGGTTGGGTGGCACAGTTCAGTTTCGGCGAGCAGGACATGGACTACAGGCAATCACGTATTCACTTGCATTAGTGCATCTCATGTGATGGAAGGCGTTGTTGAGCGCAGTTTCAGAAGTTGAAGAAACGCAGAGAACACCTTGACCCATGAGCCTCACACATTTACAGCTGCAGCCGTCAACTGCCGGAGCCAGCAAGTTTTCGCCTTTCTCAGGTACACCACATCCTTGCACTGGATGTTTTGCCAGCTCGGCTTCGGTTCCACTAGCATTGAGGTGTCGTGGCTGTCGTGAAGCTTCTGCCTGTAGCTCTCTGAGAACCGGACCGACGGTAGCCACTGCATGCTGTGTGGAAGTGTCGCCTTGCCTGCTGAGGGCAGCGCCACACTCGAGCGCGTCTTTGGACTGATTGACGCTTGGACGTTGGACTTTTCACTTGCGTGTCTGCTTACGGACGCCTGGGCTATGAAGAAGAAAAAACTTCCTGCATCGTACTGTCAGGTGGCCTTTCTTGCCTTGGTGGTCTTCTCTACGCTGTTGGGTGCCCCCCTCAGGTTGAGGGTGGGCAGCACGTCAGAGTGCCTGCTGCAACAGGTGCCATCACCAGCCTCACGAACCAGGTGAACAAGGCATCTGAGGAGCGGAAGCATCAGTTCCGGCAGCTGAGGCCCGAACCGGAAATGTCAAAAGGTCCGATCTCTTGCTTAAGAGCTCTTACACGGGTGTCTGTATTTTGCAGGGGCTAAGTTTGGGATTATGATCGGGATGAGTCCTTCCAGGAAGTATTTGAGCCAGAATCACATCAACGAAGACCTCTGCTTGCGCATCA